GAGGGCTCGGTCCGCCCCTCCCGCCGCCAAGATGGCGGCCGCGGTCCCTCAGAGGGGCCTCCCGCGCGGCTGCCGGCCCCTGCGGGGGAGCCTGTGCGGCTGAGCTGAGCGACGAGTGCCAAGGGCCCCGCTGTTCCACGAGGGGGTAGTCTTTAGGGGGAAAAAAAATTATATGTGGTAGTTTCAGGACTCTTTCGGTAACCGTGTGCGGGGCGAGCTGCTCCCCTCAGCTTCCCACCGCCCTCCTGATGGTCCGCTGTGAGGTGCAGGCAGCTGCCAGTCGGAAGACGCCGCTGCGCAAATTGTGGGTGGCCAGTGCTCTCGGTGAGGCTCCAGTTCACGCTCTTCCTCGGCTGCCTTCGTCTCACCCAGTGGCAAATGCAGGCAGTGGCTGCCTTGTCAGGGGCAAAGTGTGACCCAAAACCAAAGCCTTTTTTTAAAGTGGGAAAAAAACAAAGAAAAAAGCAGCAAAGAATGCGCCCTTGGACCTGTATGGACTCAGTAGTGGTGAGGAAGTTGCTGCCTGGACTCAGAGGGCTGACGACTGCTGGCTCCAGCTGGGCTGCTGAACTCCCCATGCTTCCAGGAATAGCTGGAGTAGGGTACCTGGAGAGGATATTTCAGGGATGGCCGGGATATCAACCCCACAGCTTTTGACCCACTTGTCCCACTTAGTGCTGAGCTCCTGTGGAGGCACGTGGCCCTAGCCAAACAACTTGGCCAATATGGGTCCTATATGAATGCTAGAGGGGTCTAAGCCTCCTGGTTCCTTCCCCAGGTTGCTCCATAGCTGGCCTTACCCTGCCTTGATCTGGGAGCAGAGATCCCTCTGCAAGGAGGAACAAAATGGCAGCAGTGATGGAAGAAGGGCAAGCGACAGGAAAGTAGGAGAGACTGATGACAGGAGGCGGCACCAGCCCTCTGCCCTTGCCTGTCTGAAGAGGAAGCTACTCATCTCCTTTAGGAGACACATTGTTATTGCTGCTGAGGGGATTAAATCATGCTATTTCCTGCTGGTGCTCTCCAGCCACTGGTGCCATGGAGAGGAGGTGCCCACCCCAGCTGGCACCACGCTCACAGCATGCCTGTAGTGTATTCCTGCCTGGTGCAGGGTCTTCTCCCTCCAACCTGCACTGGGAATGAAGGGTCCCTGGGGTAGGACCCATGATCCACATCCTACCATCTCCTCCAGGAACCTGCTGTGCCCCACGTCCCACCCGCTCTGTGTTTCTGCCTGGCATCCTTGCTGTAGGCATTCCCTGAGGTTCACTCCTCTAATTGCCAGCTACAGATGTCCCATGGCAGACTGCTGCTATTCCCGTCAAACCAGCCCTTCCCAGTGGCATCTGAGGAGCCTTCCCATCACCTCCTGTGCTCTGGATCTGCAGTCAGCAGAGTTGGCTCCTGTCTCCCCTGGGGAGAAGACCCTGACCCCAAACTGCTCTTTGCCTACTGCAGAGTGAGTCGAACCTTAGCCTGGAGCCTTGCAGAGCTGCTCTGTTCAAGGCTGAGATGGAGGGACCAGATCTTTCCCCTTCACTACCACCTGGGCAAGGCTGGAGGTGAGCAAAGCCCATGCCTGCACCAGGGGAGACTATTGCTCAGCTCTGAGCAGGTTGCCATTCAGCACCTGGAGGACCCACAGTGGGACTGCCTAAGTTCAGTAGGCAGTACAGCCCAGCTGCTACAGGCAACATGAGAGCTGGTCCTAGGGAACGCCCATGCGCCTGTATAAAGCACTGATTGCATGCCCACAGCTGGAGCTGTACCTTGGGGCTACTGCTCTGCCCCAGTGAGTGCTGAGCTAACCCAGCTGCTTCTCTACCTGCCTGATCTGGAGGAGTAAAGTGCAGGCAGGTGAGAGCTTTCCTTCTCTCTGGAGAGACTCTGCCATGGGAGAAGGGTTTGCAGGATCTGCTGGGATCTGCTGGGCACAGGCTCTGCAAGTGCTGGCTGTAAGTGTAGGGTTTGTGAGGGGCTGGGGGGGATGGATGGGGGCTTGGCTGAGCATGTGCCCAGTGGGAATAGCAGTCCTGGGGGTCAGAGCTCCTGAAGCAAAGTGAAGGAGGTGCTGTGGTCCCTGGCTGCCACCCCAGGTAGGACCTGGGTGCTGGCCTTGGCTTTGCAAACTGTGGGGCAGAGACTGCAGCCAGTGGTTGGGGGGGTCCCCACTCCCCTGGAGCTGGGTGGTTGGAGCTGTCAGCCATCCCTCCTGGCAGGGCATAGTTGGATTTATGTTGCTTTTGGGAAGAGAAGGGATGGGTCTCCAGCTCTGAAATGTGTCCTAGCCCTTGTCTGGTAATGGTTGGTGCTTACTACCTGCTTGGGGAGTCTAGTAGAGGGCTGTATCTGCTTCTCTTGTTGTAGGCTGGGCAGGTATTTTGTGGGTGCTGGTTGCTCAGGTGTGAGTTGGGTGCAGAGCAGGAACACAAGTGGGGCGCTCCTGGTGGTGCAGAGGCATGGAGGTGGGGGTGTCCGTCTGTCCTTGCAACCCGTGCTTTGTCAAGCAGACTTAGAAAGAGGAGCTGGTCCTGGCAGCTGCGACTGAGGATGGCATTTGTGGTAGCTGTGACGCCCTGTGCTCCATGTCTCCTGTGTCTGTGGGAGAGGGGCTTGGGAGTTGGCTGCTGGACTGGGGCAGGAAGGGTGTAGGTGCCTGCTGGCATGTCTAGCTAGGAGGTGAGCGTGCTGTCTTGGAGAGCACAGTAAAACATGTGCTGCGGGGACTAAATAGCAGGCAACATCACTACCAGCAGGGAAGGTAAACAGATGACTGTCTTATGCCATTAAATACATGGGATCTGGAGAGAGATGGGTTAGTTTTAGGCTGCTCTTCAGAGAAAGCCAATCTGTTCTTCTATTCAGAGATGGTGGTGAGTTTTGAAACAGCAGTCCTGAAACCACAGCTGGATTTTAAGCCAAGAGCACTTTGTCCTCAGGAAAGGCAGGCAGTCCCAAAACTCTAGGGAGACAAACAAGCAGCTCCTCTTAAAGGATTTAAGCTCTCAACCTGGTCCTCATCCACAGAGGTGTGCCCCTGCCTCGCTCTGTGTCTTACAGGTCTCTGTTCCAGGCTCTCGGGGGGTTTGGGGTCTTCCCTCCAGGGTGGTCCTGCCAACCAGTGCCCCTTCCTAGGGCTCAGAGCACCAGGATGCTGACACCCAGCACCCAAACAGGGAAGCCCACCCCAGTGGGGAAACATCTCAGTGTGTGCGCACTGTAAAGAAAACATGCCTGTTGGGAAGATGCTCAATCAGGGCAGGAGGCCTGGTTTCCATCCAAGCCCTGCTCCTACCCATGCTGGCTGCGTTCATGACTTTCACATAAGGAGAAGTCTCTGGAGGATGCTGTTGTATGGGCATTAACCCAAGAGCGGTGTGCAGCATGGCCACTTTGCAAGGCCTGGGGGCCACCCATGTCCCCCCACAAGAACTGCCCAAAGTTAAAGAAGCCCAAAGCTGCTCAGCCTGAGACAAGCGTCTTGGGCATAATCAGAAGCAGCACTTTGTCCTCTGGGCTCTGGCAGCTATCGATGCTAGTGCTGGGCTGTTGCTAAGCCGAGACCCTGGGCACTTGGGGATGCCTGGAGCAGGCATTAGACTAGCAAGTGCTCTGCGTGCATTGAGTCCCAACTGGCTTGTCTGGGGAAGACACCGTGTGTCATCAAGGTGTGCCTTCCTATCTGTGCAGAGAAGCTATAAGGCTGGCATTTGCCTGCTTGGATTGCTTCCCTGTGGGACTGTGTACTATGAGCTTCCACATGTGCTGCAGCAGGCCTGATGTGCGATTCTTTTATTTCCCCCCTACCCCGTGGCACACATGGGTATTTGAGATCTTTAAGTGGGATCTTCCTGACTTCTGTACCTATAAAAACATCTCCTGTAAAGCCTCCTAATGGTTAATGGCACGCCAGGTTTGCACATGGCACTGAACAACATCTTGAAGTGTAGCTGGAGACCTAGTAACTGAGTTGCTCCTGTTCCTTCAAATGGTGAGCGTGACCAGCTGTTGTTATGTAGTCTCTCCTCCAGTCCTTCTGGGAAATCACACCATGATTGTATTTCTGGCTTAAGAAATTTTTTCCCTAATCAGACTGGGCCTCACAAAGAGGTTGCCACTTAGTGGTAATTACTTGCTTTAGAAGCTGAATGTCTCCTGAGGATTGCAAATAGGGGATTATCAAATTAATTAGGTAAACCAAGATGTGCTTTTGTGAAGCCAAGGCTTGCTTTACTTGTGATCTGAAATAAAGGTTTAAATATTATTAAACTGCATACAACCTGCTCTTGTCTCCCTAATGGGAGAGAACTAGCTCTTTCCTGAAACATTGATATTGGTACAAAGGGCTGCTTGCAGCTCTACTTGCTGCAGTGCTTGTTGCTTTTCTTTGACAAAACCTGTTTCAAGCAAACACCTATCACTGGTCATAAGGCACCTGTTTGTGCTGAGTGGGGTCTAACGTGGCTTCTTGGTGGATTCCCATGCTTTTATAGGCTGCCAAGTGGAAGGGGAATGGGGTTCACAGTGGGTAGCTTGGTGGGATTGTAATGTACCTGTCTTCAGCTTCTACTTTCAGGGCACAGCTTAATCCATGGGACATCTGCATAGCCATATGGGGACAT